AAAAAACTTATACATGTTAATTAAGTTAGTTTCTTTTTTGTTGGTATTAAAAAAAAATATTTTATAAACTCTTTGATGTAAAACATTTATAATGTATATTTTAAATAGTAAAATTTCTTTTTTGCTGGTATTAAAAAAAAAATTATAAACTCTTTGATGTAAAACATTTATAATGTATATTTAAAATAGTAAAATTTCTAATAAAATAAAAAGGAAATAAAAAGGAAATAATAATAATAATTATTATTATTATTTCTAATTATTATTTCTAGAAAAATATTTATTCATAGTCCTTTCAAATCTAATTACTATTTTAACAAAAATCGAACCACTTTGTTTAATTATTATGGAATTGTGAAGTTTAATAATTTAAAAACAGTTATATATTAGAGTTACTAAAAATTTAATATTACAAATTTAAAAATTCTTTTATATATTAGTTTCTTTTTATTGGTTTAGAAAATATAATTTATTTATTTAATAAATTATTTAATACGAAAATAAATAATTCCCTTAAATTAGGAAATTATCTGAAAATATAAAAAGGAAATCAATTCATTTAACAAATACTGTAATTAAATTTATATGATGATGTGGAATGAAACTATTGGTTGTTGGAAAAATTACTTAATTTTGGAGATGTTTATGGGGGAAATTTCAAAACTACACCTCTTGAGGTACCAATTTTCAAAAATACACCTCTATGGTGTCTATTTTCAAAACTACACTTTTTTCATTTAGTAAAAGAGCTCTAAACCCTAAATTATAAATCCAAAACCCTAAAATCTAACATTGAACCCTTAAACCTAAATCCTAAACCCCAAAATCTAAACCCTAATCTAGGATTAGTGAACCCAAACATATATATTAAAATTAGGAAAAGGTCTATTTTTGAAAATTTCCACACTATAGGTGTAGTTTTGAAAATTTGCAGCTCAAGAGGTGTATTTCATAAAATTTCTCATGTTTATGTGGACCAATTAAACTGCGTCTTTAAATCCTATGTGGATACTCTCAGAGGCCTCAACTTTTATATTCCCTTAAAATATTTTTGTATAAATCTTTCAAATATAATTATCAATCGAATTTAAGTTTTAACAAAAATTGAAGCACTTTGTTTAATTATTTTGGAAATGTGAGGTTTCTTAATTTAAAATCAGTTATATATGAGAGTTATTAAAAAAAATATTACAAATTTAAATTTCATTTATATATTAGTTTCTTTTCATTGATATTTGAAAATATAATTTCCTTATTTAATAAATTAGTTAAAATAAATAATTTCCTTAAATTAGGAAATTTTCTGAAAATATAAAAAGGAAATCAATTAATTTTATAAGTATTATAATTAAATTTAGAGAAATTTGTGAAAAATACCTTAATGTCAGTTTTTATTTTGAAAAATACTCTAGTTTTTTTGGGTTTTGAAAACTACATTTTTACATAAATTATTCTAGTTTAATTTCTAACTAATTTAGTTAAAACGAAATTTAAATAACAAAAACAAAAAATTATGATTTGTTTCATTTCAAACTGATAAATATTCCTCATTATCTGCTAATTTTTTTTTAACAAAACTATTATTTAGCATTTCTGTACACAGTTTCATATTTTCTTCTTTGGTGTAGACTATTCAACTGCAGCACCTACAAGAACATGTAGTAATATTTTGTTAATGAGGAGAACACCATCATAAGCACAAAATTGACCATTATAAAATACATGTACATAAGAAACTGAACCACATTATTATCGATAGATTGTCGAGTTCATAGCTTGTTTATTGCTCAAATAGTTTGATGAAACATAAATTATATGTATGATATTAAACTAGTTTATATAAGACTACAAAATTAATTAAATGTTGTTAAAGATCAATTTTAAAACGATTTTCTTTATTTTATATTAGTACAAGTTTAATTTCGAATTTAATTTTAAATTAATTATCTATTATTGCTTTGTTTAAATAAAGTCAAAAAAGTATTTTAGATATTAAAAAATGTAGTTTTCAAAACCAAAAAAAATTAGGGTATTTTTCAAATATTAAAACCTAAACAAGGTATTTTGCAAAGAATCCCTTAAATTTATATGATGATGTGGATTGAAACTATTGGTTGTTTAAAATTGGAAAATTACTTAATTTTAGAGATGCTTATATGGACCAATAAAATTGCGTCTTTTAATCTTATGTGGACGCTCTCAGAGGCTTATAGCCTCAACTTTTATATAATATATAGATTTTTGTATCGAAACATTAAAATGTACTAAATTAACCCTCATTTAACATGTTGCCAAATACTTTCTCTTCATAATTAGATTGATTTTTTGGTTATAAATGTTTCATGTAATTTTCAATTAATAATATAAAGATTAAAACTTTGTGTCGAAAAATCTAGCCTAATAAGTTGTCCAAGGATGAGATTTGATTTATAACCAAACCAAGTGACCTCCGAACCGAACCGAGACGGTTTTTGATCAAAACCGAAATCAATTACATAGGCTGGTTTGACCGGGTCCCACCGCTGCTTCTTCTTCTTCTTCTTCTCTTCACCGATAATGCTTGTTCTGCTCTGAGCCTTTGATTCTTGTTCTTATCTTCTTCTTCCTTCGAGCTCGTCATCTCGCATAGCCAATTCGATCCTAATCCCCTATAAGATCTCTCGAATTTGTAGAATTTTTGCAATTTTTGGGAAACAGATCTTCGAAATCGGGAAGCTGAATCTGCAATTTGATTATGCTTTGGGGAAACCGAAGTATTCATACGGATCCAGAAACTGTTCTGATGGCGATCAAAGAGGAGACTGAGGAGAGTTGCGAAAGCAGGGCCGTCATAGCGAATCCAGGAATCGAATTACGAAGAAGCTATTTTCGCTGATTTCGATGATCAGCTCTGGCTCCATTTCAACCGTCTTCCTGCGGTAAATTTCTTCTGTAACCCTTAGCTGCATAGAACTGTCTCAATATGATAAGTCTTTGCAACTTGATTGATTACTTTGAAGCACAAAATTATAAAACTGTAGCCCTTAGCTGCATAGAACTGTAACCGTGTTGGCTGATTCAAGCTTGTATCTTCTGAATTATAGAAATTGTTTTGATGTTCTTGATGGATGCTTAAACAACAACGTAGAAGAAACTTATGAAGTAGCTCTATAGATGGAACATTCATATGTTAGGTTCTAGATTCATTTAGTACTTGTTCATTATCCCTATTTTGAATTTAAATTTAGTACTTGTTCATTATCCCTATTTTGACTCCCGGAGATAAAAAAAAAAAAATTAATCCAAAAACATTGGCTTTTTTCTTCTTCATTTTGCTGGTTCTAAAGAGATTGCATTTGGTTGTTAGAGATGAATCTGAAGCCTTACATTTAAATGTTGGTATATGGACCCGTGGCCGATTATGTTGAGTATTGATAGCTGAGTATTTAAGTTTTAATCTTTATGGGGTTCTCTGTTGTTGTGGTCTTGTGGATGGTTGTTTATGTTGGAAATGTACACAATCGATTCGCCAATGACTGGTCTGGAATTGATTTCATGTTAAAGAAGGGACGTTAGTGCTCTTGAAGATACATTTTTGTGAAATCCAAGTTTTTTGTTTGCATACATTTCTGAACATTGTTTCGAAAGCTACCTTGTTTTTCTGTTTGCCGTACTATCTTCTCCTGGAGCTGATTCATTTGCTATAGGTTGTCAGCCATGTTAAACTTGAATCAGGAAATGTACTCGAATCGAGATCCAACTGCTTACTCCACATTGGTTTCAAGTATTTCAGACATCACTTGTTCTAATTATTCATCTGTTTTAGATTTTAGTTTTTTCTTTATATGAGCTATGCATATCTTCTTGGAATCATAGTTAATACCAACATTAGTATATCCTCCGGAAACCAATTCTACTCACTCTTTCACTCCTTGTTAGAAGTTTCTTCACTAGTTTTCTCCAGCAGTGTTAATTCTGAACCCTACACAAACACATAATAGCTATTAGTTTAAGATCTAAAATGTTAAATGTCGAAAAATATTTTTGTAAAACGTCTTCTTACCTTTTTTCTGTTTCGTAGCATATTTTAAAACATACTTGACTTAAACTATAGAAGACGGAATCCTAGCCTTTTCTGAATCCGAAGCAATGTATTACCAAACTTGATATCTGCGTTTTGGTTTGTGGTAGGACATAATCCGATATCATTGAAGCCATTGCTGCAGAGGACTGAGAGGAGAGGTTGAAATATTACTGTGGAAACAATATGCAAGACATCAACATGAGCCTCAGCCAATCTAAAAAGGTTAGAATTCAACGAATGTGCTACTTTATAATGAATACCGATAATAAGTGGTTATAAAACCCATCAAATAGATTAGTGAAGTATAACAAAGATTAGTATAATTATAGATACGCAGCTTAGTATAATTAATTATAGATACGGAGCTTTATACAAAGCTTTATATTCGCTTTATACACTGTTTCGTATCTTCTTAGATACACAGCTTTATAGATGGAACAATCATATGTTAGGTTCTAGATAAATTTATAATGATTTACTTATGAAGTTTATAGATTAATTTTTTTAATCTGCTGCTTAAAGTTGATTTCAGTGATCTTGATGTGTTTAAGTGTATCATTTATAATAGTGACTTTCATAAAAACATTTTTGGTAATCTTTTTGTTGTGAGCTTTATTTGTGTTTTTATTTGTTTTTGCCATGTGTTATGTTTCTCATTTCTTTTCAGTTTGGGTTTCTCCAAATTTGTTCGCAGGTTTGTGAACAACTTTGAAATCAGTCACAAAGTTATCTTGTTAACCAGCTGAAGGTTGTTTATATTGTCTCGATGCCCGCTCCGCAACATGAAGTTTCTTTTCAAGACGTTAGACGGGTAAAGCATGTTTTCAATAATATATGTTGTCAATCTACAAAACATAACTGATTCTTATATTAGAATTGAAAGCATGTAACACATTATGACCGTTTACTTACGTTTCCTCTTCTAGGATCATCTCCAATGTTGCAGCCGCCATGTATTATTGCTCCTAAGGTTCTATTACCAAAAGGTCAAAAACATACGGAGGCGGCAATCATAGCCGAGGCTGAGAGACTGTTTGAGTCAACCCGTCTAATGGCAATTAGAGTCCGCAAGAACATACAGCAGAAAGACATGGAACTCGGTCGGGACCTTGGAAACTGGATTCTCCGCCGGCTTGACCAGACGAAGCATACAGAGCCAAGCATAGGCACACGGCCAAGAGAGTCTATCCGTCTTAAATCGCAAGCCAGCACGCAAGCTCCTCAGAATGGTGAAGTGGGTAGGCACTTGTTCATGTCATTGAGGGACCTTGAGCGCAAGTTATCCTAACCTGTCTAGTTGATGACGATGATCAAGCCGCCAAGACCCACTGTAAATACCACTCTTATTAAACCGATTTATGCTAGAGGCGGGTTTTATGGTTTTATCAGGAAGGACATTTTGCAGTGGATGGCGCAGAGATGAAGCGTCCAAAAAATTAATGACTAGTTTTACTTACTTGAGCGGCACGTTTCTTTATTCTTCAAATTCACAACAAGAAATGTCCTGTGAAGGACGCATGAATCCGCTAAACTGAGCCAAATCTGTGAAAATTTGAAACCGGTACACCGATCAAATAACAATACACACTAGAAGATCGATCAATACCGCTGAATCGTCGGAGAAAATGACTCTCAGAGGTTTTATATTTCTTTCTAATTAAAGAGTTGTCGTATCCGCGCTACTCATTTAAATATCGAGTTATGATTGGTAGTTTTTTTTTAACCAGAGTGGTAAGAGATGTACGGCTGACGTGTGGAAATGTCACAGCTAAAACGAAAACGCTATCAACAAAATTATTTAGCTCTGATTCTGTAATTACCACCACATATTTTTGTACGGATATCATCATCTAGTTTTTTGTATCACTATCTCTATGACTATCGTTCTAATTATTCTTTCTATTTCTACCGCCATTTTTGTACAACTTTTTTATGTTACTAAACTGGTTTTTACCACAAAAGAAAATTCATCCAAATCGAATAATCTTTTTAGCTGTTATTTAGATCATCTAAATGGGCATTTTATGGGATACAGAAGCCCAGTCCATTAATACTAAACAAAATTAATCTTGTCGAACATGTAAATTGGACGGTGAGGATTGCATCGCGTTCAAGCAACCCGGTACTATTCACTAGAAAAGCGATCTGTGACTACGACGAGAAGGAGACTGAAATTTCTGGCGGCTCTCGAAGGAATATATTCGAATAATCAGAGGAAGAAGAAGAAAGTTTGAGAAGAACAATGGTATTGTGGGAGCTTACTCTGGGAACAGCGTACTTCTTGGGGCTGAGACGGACTTACCGACTCGCATTGAAGATCCAGCGTCGTATTGTTAGCCCTGAGCATCCGAGGATCCGACATTTTCTGCATCGGTAAAAGTTTCGTCTGTTTGTTTCCTCTTTGCGATTCTCGGATTGCGATTTGGTTACCTCTGATAGTTTGTTTGAGCTACAGTCCCTTCGGAGACAACCGGTGCAGAAATTCATACATTTTAGATTGATAAATGGCTTTTTTTTAGTCTATGAAATTGCTGCTTTATTGATTTATTCTTCTTTCCGATTGTAAACATCTAATGATCCTTTGGATCCGGATTTGTTATGTGCAGATTAAGTTTTGCTCCGAATCTCGTATCAATATAATCCCAATTTTAAAGTAGACTCAAAATATAACTTAGTCTTGTTTTGATGGTATGGATTTGTAGTTGAACCAAGTTATTTTTCCAGGAAATCAATTTACTTAGAGGATATTAGATCTTGTAATGCATTGGTTGATCCATTCCAAGAATAGTGAGACCAAAGCTTACGCATATAACTTCACTAATAGGAATGGTGGCTTAATTTGCCTTGTTTATATGCAGGAGGACTCATCAAATCTTTGATGTGGCACTTAGGGTCCACAAGAACATTCAACAGAGAGACATGGAACTTGGTCGAAACCTTGGAAACTGGATTCTCCGCTGGCTCGACCGCGTGAAGCCATCAGCACAAGTTCTACTACCAAAACACACGGAGCCAAGCATAGTCAAGGCCAAGAGACTGTTGGACTCAACCCGTCTCAAACCGCTTGCAACCGCGCAGACTCCTCAGAACAGTGAAGTTGGTAGGCACTTGTTCTTGTCCATGAGGAACCTTGAGCCCAAGTTATCCCAGCCTGTCTCGATGATGATGATGCTCAAGCCTCCAAGATCCTCTGGAAGTACCACTCAGCTCAGGAATTACAGTGGATCCACTTTTACTAAACCGATTTATGCTAGTGGCGGGTTTGGTGGTGTTATCAGGAAGGACATTTTGCAGTGGATGGCGCAGAGATGAAGCGGCCAAAAGTTTTTTCCAATGGGCCGATGTTTCCATCTGTTTCTTATATTTCAGCAACTGACGAATATCAAAACTACTCAAAAGGAAACACTTCTCAGCTGTTTATATGTGCTTTTTTACTAAGAACTGGCTGAATAATCGGAAATTCTCCCAGAGAATCCAAAACTTGTGACTACTTTTACTTACTTGACCCACACGTTTCTTTACTCTTCAAAATCACAACCAGAAAATGACCTGTGAGTGAGGAATATGTTTACTCTTGATTCTGTTTTAAAATTTTTGATTTGATTGATCTTTCCTTTTTATTAGAGACAAAAACAGAACTTGTCTAATTTTCTGACAAACAAGTTACAAATGAGTACATGTCAATATTTAAGGAGAACAATCTGAACCAATAAGTGTGCGTTCAGCATTATTACGATGATTTCTCTAGTGATTGTGGTTTTTACACGATGCCAAACATTTTAGAGGTCAAGCAGAGAGCTTCCTTCTCTAGCAAGCACGAAAAGGCCACCGTCTCCTCTTGAAATCCTGAGATCCTTGTCGAGATAAGTGGTCAAGAGCCAAGAGCTGCCTCGGTTTCCTGGAAACGGAAGCTTGAGAGGTGCCTGGCCCGAGACTGCCCGTGAAATGTTTGCTGCCACATCTTGTAAAGGGTTCAAAGATTGCTTCAGCAACGAAAGACTAATCTGCTGTCCAAAGACACCCACACTCTCTGGGAGATCCACACTTGATTTGATCTCCGGAGGCTTTAGCGTACCTTCTTTGAATGAAACCTGACATTCACAAAACATTAAGAGACACAGATGATGATACCAATAACAATTGCAAGTGTGAATGTTTTTGCAAGTTTTACCTCAATTCTTGAAGGGCTTCGAACTTCAAAAGATGCAGAAGCACTGAATGAGAATTCAGCAAATGGGCTGGAGAGTGTAGTCGAGTTGTCTATAGAAAGACCCTTCGTGTCTATGGACTGACTTATACTTTTCAGTTTCAACAAAGGTGTCGAGCCAGCAGCTAGAAGAGGAAGCAACTCAGAGAAAGCAGTGTACCTGTTTCATAACCCGATACAGAAATTGAAACAAAATTGATGCTCGATCATAGTAAGAAGAGAACTCCTGGATCACTATGCTCACTTCACAGATTAAAAAATGTCTCATTTTCAATTAGGAGGATCAAAAACTATCTCAAAAGAGCAAATCTATTCACAGTGTTGCAATTGTAAGTCACAGACTCACAATTTCAGGTTTTGACTACATAAAAGAGAGTGGAATGTATTCTCAAAGGCCTACGATCTAAGATTCGTCTTCTGTTTAGAGTAAAGAGACTTACAGCAAAACCCAGTTACCGTCGAGAAGCTCCGGATTCTCAACCGGAGCCGGCGTAGGATTCAGAGCTTCCAACTGATTCACGAGCTCCAACACCTCCGCCCGAACCTCTGAGTCAGCCCGGAACCCTAACTCAGTCCCGTACACCGTATCCGCCAAACACCTTTTCAGCTCCCCAGTCCGGTCGTACACTGCATTTCCGTTTCCGGCGTCGACTTCAGCTTCTCCTCCAACATTTCTTTCCTCCCACTCGTCCTCGTTCGTTGGTGGATCCGATTCCGCAAACCGGGTCCCGGACTCCTCAGGTCCGGTTTCCGATTTCTCGCCCCATTCGTCCGTAATTCCGGGCGCAATATCCGATTGAGATTCGGGTCCATTCTCAGCTCCCGGTTTCTCAACCGATTTTTTTATAAACGCCGAAACATATTCCGGGTCGGAGTCTGATTTCAACGGACGAGAAGATCGGATTTCAGTACACCGGAGAGGCCTGGGACGGTGAGCAAAAGAGAATGAGAGAGAATTAGGTACAGAAGGAGAAAAGGTCTTGCTAGTATTAATGGAGGAAACAAAGAGGAGCGAAGGACGAGCGGTGGTGAAGAGCTTAGCCATGGTTTCGATCTCTGTGTTCTTCTTCTTCTCAGAAGTTGGAATACAAAAGAGTACAAGATTACTAAACTCTCAGAAATCACACGAAATTTAGATGACCCCACGAAAAAAAAGTATTTTTAAAACCAAAAATGAAAAAGAAGGAAAATAAAAATACGGCATGTATCCATGGGCTTATGAAATTTTGAATTTGGGCCTAAAGTTGGATCCAAATTTTCAGGCCCAGGCCTATATAACGATCGGTGTTCGTCTCTCTCCCTTATCCGCGGAATATTTTGTCTGTGTGGGAGTTTGAAATCACCACCATCTATGGCTGCTTTTTCTTCTTCAGCTGCTTCTGGCTTAGCTACACTCTTCTACTCGCATTCGTTACACCCTATCACTGGCCTGACGAAACTCTCTTCTCCATCTCGGATTCGTTCCTCGCCTCGCCTTTTCAGTGGATTTCGTAGTCTCCGACGCCGCGGCTCCTCTCAGAATGTTACCGCCGACCGGTTTAGTAACTTCTCTTGTAGATGCTTATCCGCCGTATCCACTAGCACTATCGATTATGAGGTCAGTTTTTGCCTTTTTGGTATTCAATTCTCGGTTTCTTTGGTGATTGAGCTTTGATTCCTCTTCTTTTCACGGAAATCCAGTCACCCAAATAATGAATTCAGATTCAAGTGGTTTCTGAATCAATCAGATGAAAATTTGATTTTGCATTTCTAGTTTATCAGTCTCAGTGATCAATTAGACACCAGCTGTAATGGTTGCTCATTGCTTGTTGTTTTACATTTCTGTGAGAAAAAAATGGAATCATTGTTAAGAGTATATGATGCAGTTCACGGATGGTGGCAAAGAGGTGGAATTGAAACTGAGGTTGAAGACAGGTGAGACACTTTCACCAAAGGATATATCTGTAGACGCAGATGGAACATCTTTGGCTGTGAAAGAGAAGCGGAACGGATTGGTGATTACGCTTCTAGAGACGAACCATCTCTTTGACAAAATAATGCCCTCTGAAACAATATGGTGAGCTACGCTTCAAATCTTGCAATTGAGTTTCTTCTAACCGTTTGACTAGAGTTGTTACTTGTGACTGTGACATTTCCTTTAAGGGCTGAAGTTTTGTTCTTTTGGGTCCAGAACAGGTATATAGACGAAGATCAGTTGGTTGTAAACATGAAAAAGGTGGATGGAGAATTGAAGTGGCCTGACATTGTTGAGTCCTGGGAGTCTTTGACTGCTGGAATGTCGCAGCTTCTTAAAGGGGCATCTATCTACATTGTGGGAGATTCTACTGAAATCAACCAAAAAGTGTCTCGGGAGCTAGCGGTTGGTCTTGGGTATGATATTCAGATTCCTCTCAGTGGGCTGGATAAAGCATGCTCCTATTCCTTGTCTTATATATAGTTGTTGTTATGATCTGCAGGTACAGTCCTCTAGACTCGGAGGAATTGTTGGAAAGCTTTGCCAAGCAAACAATTGATTCTTGTGAGCCTACTTTTGGATAATGATATGATCTGCTACCAAGAAATAGCGTTGAAGCCTCACTTCTATGGATCCTTTTTTTCTCCATTTTAGGGATTCTTGCAGAAGGGCCGGATTCTGTAGCTGAAGCAGAGAGCTCGGTGTTGGAAAGCTTGAGCAGGTAAATGAAAGGAAGTCATTGTCTAGTGTTGAATCTCTTTTTCCGTCAAGATTGGCCACCGACATCTCATGGCTTTGCAGCCATGTCCGTACTGTTGTCTCGACGCTGGGAGGTAAACATGGAGCTGCGGGGAGAGCTGATAAGTGGAGGCATCTTTACTCTGGATTTACCGTCTGGATATCACAGACTGAAGCCACAGGTCAATTCTCTCTGCATCCATTTAATAAGAAATGATCTTTACCAAGAACCATTGCTTATATATCCAAGATTGCTTCTAAGTGTAGATGAAGAATCAGCTAAAGAAGAAGCGAGGAAAAGCAAGCAAAAGAGGGAGATTGGGTACTCAAACGCAGACGTGGTGGTGAAGCTACAAGGTTGGGACCCAACGCATGCCAAGAGCGTGGCTCAGGCCTCGTTAAGTGCACTTAAGCAACTCATCATCTCAGACAAAAAACTTCCAGGTAAAAAAATAAACAAAAGCAACCAAATTGTAATCTTTTGTGGTGTTTCTTGACAAACGTTGAAACCGGTGGTTTGTGTTTTTTTCTGAAGGTAAGAAGAGTCTGTACATAAGGTTGGGTTGTCGTGGTGACTGGCCCAACATAAAACCTCCCGGATGGGATCCGTCGTCTGACACCGGAGCTCATCCACAGTTTACATAAACTTGCTATTTTGTTCTCTCCTACAAAAAAAAAAAGCACACACAAGCGTTGCTCTTGAAGAGTCTTTATTATTTCTTGTACATTCGATGGTTTGAGTTTTTGACTATTGAACAAGTGAGAGCTGTGATGAATTCTTCTATACCTCATTATCTCACCAACACAAAGATGAAAGAACCAAAGTCGTTGCTCTAAAAAAAAAAGACTTCTTTGATTCCAAATTGAGTAATATTAGGACAATGGAGGTACCTTTAACAAAGAGTAACTAACGACAACAACACTAGCAAGTTCCAAAAAAAAACGGTTTGTCCTAATCTAATTATAAAAAAGTTTCAGGACAGCACAAAAAAGAAGTCGACACATTTTTCTAGACCCAAAACAAAAGAGAAGAGAAGCTCTTTCCTCGTCGTCATCATCTTTAGAAGCCACCAGTGGTCGGTTTCATTTTCATGGCAGAGGGTGGCAAGCGTTGAAGAGCTGTTATGGTGGATCTCAGCAGATCATCATCTCCTACAGTCGACCGCAGCTTCCTCCCAAATTCCTCTCTCGACATCTTCTTCTCCTGCAACAGAACATAGTTTCAGTAAAACAATGAGGAAAATTGAGTAAAAAAAAAAGGATAAAAGTTTGCTACAACAATACCCTAAGCTGTTGGTAATCAGCAGAGATCAAGTCCATGTCTTTCTGTGCAATTTTGCTCGAGATTGCAGTGAAGAGCATAGGATAAGGCATCAAAGAAGATATGGGCTTCTTACTGGTGGAACCGGCACTGTTGTTTTCGATCCCTGAAGATCCATTCGATATCTTTCCAGGCTCCTGCTTTAAACAAACAAGCCGCATTACTGTTTTAAGTCCCAATCAAATATACACACTGAACACTTAAAAACAAGAACTTCCTCACTCACATTAGAGAGAGAACCTTTGGATCCTTCCAAGGTAATCCCCAAAATTCCGTGCTTACTCTGACTAGTAAGAAGCAAATTCCCTGCAACAAACGGTATATGTATTCCGGTTTTTAAAATACTGCAGAAAACAGAATGTGATGGTCGAAAAAAAAACATATGCATAATCCATGAATATCTCACTGGAGCCCCGGGATGATGAAGTGTGTAACTACCCCCATAGGTCCTGAGGCGACACACATCAAATCCTTTTTCATAAGTTATAGAGCAAAGATTTCATTCCAGATATAGCTGATCAGGCTGTCTCCCATTCAATGCGTCATCAGTAGATTTTGATGATTATATGGAATTTTTTTTAATAGGAACAAATGGTAATCACCTTCAGCATTGGGGATAGACAGCTTGAAGCTAACTACAAATTCTGGGTAAATGTGAGTGTTTGTATTCACGTTCCACACAATATAGTGCTTCGGATTATCGACATCATCAACTCCGTTATCATACTCTCCTCCTCCAGTAAAGAACTGTGCACTATCACCACGAAGAAGCTCCATGTTCCCCATTATCACACGGCACAAAACCATGTGCCTCACACCGTTTTCATCAATATCACAATGTCTAGCACTGTAAACAATGTCTTATATCTTTCCCGTATGCTTAGAGTGAAACATTAAAAAAGATGAAAACAAAAATAGAGAGAAAGCAAACCTGAGATAAGGGAAGTTTGCAGAAGATAAGTGAACTCCAACACCATACATAGACTTTTTAATGAATGCTCCTCCCACTCCAAGTCCATGGATCATAACTTCAGACAACAATTCCTTCTTCGCAGGAACCCATGCATATCTAATGTTGGCATCTCCTCGGTGTTTCTCAGTGATGTCGGCTTGTTTCTGGAAAATCGATTGACGAGCTTTGGCGATGTCACTTGAGAACCGATGCACATCAAGCAACTCCACATGTCCTAAAGTGGCCATGCCCAAAACAAACATTTGGTTGACAGCATCGCTATCAAGTTCCTCCTTCTCAGTAACCTTGGCACCAGAGAATATACTATTTCCTGTCTCCTCCCATTTCTCCACATCATCTTCAAGCCCACGACTACAGCTATCCTCCGATGTCTCATCATATCGCTGAACAAGTTGAATATCATCCATATTGTCATTGAACTCCTTCAAGTTCAGCCTCGGTAATCCCCCACCATTGACATCGATTTCAAGGTGCAGCTTGATCTCGCATTGATCATGCTTTTCCGGATCTTCCCTTTCGACAGTTTCAGAAACATCAGGGAAAAAGCATTTTCCAGCAATGTCAATCCATGCAAGGTGAGTTGTTACACCTGTTTCCAAGTCTAGCCGATGCATGTGCAAGAAATCCAGAACAAAACTGCGACCGGACCAGTCGACCTCAATTGCAGCTCTCTTTGCTTCAAGATCATTCTTGATGGAGCATATAACATGCTCAGGCAAATCAATCCATTCACCATTCTCATAGAACATAACACGCCTTGGCGCTCCGGTCTTCTTAAAATAAGAGTAGTATCGTACCAAAGACTTCCCAGAGTGATTCTCAGAAACCTTAACATTGTTTCCACCCTCCAATTCTCTCCTTCTCTCAAGCTTTTGTGTTGAAATGTTCGGTGAGAGCACACACTGCAGCTTTGCAAATGACCTTCCAGAATCATAGTTGGCGGGGAGCTTTCTCTTTTTGCCAAGTCCATCTTTAAAACTACTATCCGATACCTTGACGATTTTGGTTTCCATTTCTATTGATTAAAAACGCTAGACCTAAGAGCTTGAAAACAAAGTCAACTAATAGACCTAAATCTCTAACAGTTCTGTAGATGGCAACTCACCAACAGCATCGGAAAAAACTGCAGTAACCAGTATATAAAAAGACACAAATATTAGAAGGAAAGTTCACAAAGATATAATCTCATAGTTCAATAAATAAGCATAAATTCAAAAACCTAACGCACACAGAAAAAGTTCACAAATATATAATCTTATAGTTCAATAAATGATAAAAATCAAAAGCCTAACGTATGCAACAAAAGTTAACAAAGATATATAATCTCATAGTTCAATAAATAAGCATAAAATCAAAAGCACTGTTGCAAACACCAATCAGAAAAGCAATTTTATAAACAGTGATTCATGAGTTTTCATGCAAATACAGTATGTTCAATAGAAACAACACTATCGATACAAAGTCAGGATTCGGGAAGAGAACAGACTCAGAATGCAAACACTATATAAAACATGGATGGTCCATGCTTGCTTCTACCAGAAAAATCCCGTTTAAATAGAGATATCAAGAAAGGAAAGGACTTACAAATCAACCCACACGACGATGAAATACGGGTAAAAAAAAGTGCAGTGACTAAACATGCAAGATCTTGACATATACTAGCATATATACCTCAAAAGAAATACACTGAAAGTATAATCACTAATCCTATGTAGATAGATCAGAAAAGCTTGAGACTTACAAGGCTTAAGCAACTGATAGTCTGATACAAACATTTTGTCTTCAACTTGGGTGCTTTGTATCTTAGAGAACTTAAGAGAAATCAAAGAAGCAATGTCACTGTTTGTCTTTGTTTTTTTATGGCCTCCCTGCGCAGGACAAGCCAGCAAATTTGAACACTCAGTGGTAGAAACATAACAACAAATAACAGGTCATAATTTATCCAAAGCGGTCAAGATATAAGCTTTCTTTTGATTTGGTGAATTCATCAATCATAACAAAGGTCAAAAACTACATGGTCATTGACAATTTCACCAAATACTGTAGACTCATCGCATAAGACTCAGCAAAAGAAAAAAAAAGCAGACTTTAACTCGAACACATTTTGAAAAGTAACTCTACTTTGCAGAAGCCACTCAAAAGCACAATTTCGAACCTAAAAAGAGCATCGACTAAAAGCAACACCAATTCACAGAATCAGAGATCAGAAATTGAGGAGCATCAAAAATAAAGGTTTAGTGAAAGAAAAATATAGAACCTTGTTGAACTCTTTAGATCAATAGCGAGGCAAGGGGCTCTCTCAGCAAGAACAAACTACGAGAAACTGCGGAGGGAGATAAAAGCCACAGAAGAATGCTACAGCAACGAAAACCCTAAACCGGCGACGACGAAGAAGAAAGTGATTTGAAGATGAGCCGTTTATATATATAAGTCACTTTCGGCGATGAAGCTAAGTCGGCGCGGCGGTGCCCTGAAATTTTTTTATATTCTCGACCAAAAAAATTTGCGTGGACAAAAGGCCAATCTTTTATGGAAAGATAAAGTCACGTGCTGTTCACTTGTTTTACATCAAAGCTCAAATCTAATTGGGCCGTGACCTGAATCCGGGAGACTAACATATATTTCCTCTGTTCTCCCTTCTCCAATTAGTGACATTTTAGACTTGTATAATATGCAGAATTGGGATCTTGCTTATTGATATGTATTAACATTACTTATTCTTTAAATCAATGTAAAACATTTGCATCTCACCACTTTTAAAATCACTTTAAAATTGATGTAAAATTCTTTTGCATCAGTTATAACTAATGCAAATATACAAAATAACTGATGTAAAACACCTTTTTTTGTACTAATAATAGGAATAGAAGCAAGAAATACAAGCTATGTGTTCTCAAAATTGTGTATTGAGATTTTGTTTTATTAGGGGAAGAAGTTATCGTAATTGGTTTCTTCATAGATATTATCATCAGGTGACCCATTTAATCCATATTTATTAGTGAATGGAATTGCACTTCCATACATAGAGTCGTGCAAGCCGGCTTTCATAGGAGAATAAAAAAATCTATGTAAAAACTATGATTGTCATATTTTTAAAATATAATTTCCTTATTTGTTTTCATAAAAACGTTAATAAAAATTTCAAAATAATATTGTTTAGCAGGTTTTAATTGTAATTTTTTTTCAATTGAAAATAATCGTTTGCTTATTTGTACTTATATATATATATATTTATTTATTTATTTTTGCTTTTTTTTTATTAGTTTTTGCTTAGTTTTTTCTGGAGAGTCTTCTTCAAACTCTTTAATTATTTAAAGTGATAGAAGTATTTGACATCATTTAACATTTTTGTAACAAATATTCTCATCAGTTATATTAAGTGACAGAAATTTTGATCACATTTTTACAAATCATATATATTAGCATTGCTTATTCCTTAAACCGATGTAAAGCATTTGCATGTCACCACTTTTATAATCACTCTTAGAATTGATGTAAAATTCTTTTACATCAGTTATAAGTTTATAACTAATGCAATATACAAAATAACCGATGTAAAACAATTTTTTTGTACTGGTAGTAGGATTAGAAGCGAGAAATACAAGCTATGCCTTCTAAAAATTGTGTACTGAGGTTTTGTTTTATTAGAAGAAGAAGTTATTGTAACGGCTTCTCCATAGATAGTATCATCCGCTGAGTCGCTGACCATTTGAGTCCATGTTCATCGGTGAATAGATTTGCACCTCCACACACATAGCCGTGTGAGCCGACTTTCATAAGAGAATATAAAAACCTATAATAAAAAAATATGATTGTCATATTTTTAAAACTTAATTTCCTTATTTGTTTTCATAAAATCGTTAATAAATTTTTTGAAATCAATATTGTTTAGCAGGTTTTAATTGTAAAAAATAATTTATTTTTCAATTGAAACTAATTGTTTGCTTATTTATATATATATATATTTATTTTTCTTTTTTTTTCTTAGTTTCTGCTTAGTTTTTTCTTAGTTTTTATTCAACTTAATGTTTTTATTTATTGGAGAGTCTTCTCCAAACTCTTTAATTATTTAAAGTGATAGAAGTATTTGACATCATTGAGAATATCTGTAACAAATATTCTCATCAGTTAAATTAATTGACAGAAATTTTGATATCACTTTTTTACAAATGATACTCCTTCTGTCCCATATTATAAGCTGTTTTGGAAAAAAAAATTGTCCCAAATTATAAGCTGTTTTCTAAAACTAATGCACTTTTTACTTTACTAGGTTTTTAACCCGCGCACGCGCGGGTCTCGGTTAATAATTTTATTTAATCAACTAATAACTTTAAATATTATCAAATCTTGTGCATTTTTTTAATGTACTTAAAAAGAATTGATTATTTCATCCTCCTTTTATTCTTTTATAAGATTATAGATATTTTTAAGAATAATAATAATAAAGCAATTGAAAGGGATAAATGTAGGTTACATTTGATTTTGAGTTCAATTCATAGATCATTTTAGCAACTTTCCAATAATTTTACCTCACTAAAATACTAATTTACTTAATTTCAGTAAAGAATCTTTGTTGATTTCTGTAATATTCTATGGAGATTTGTAGGAACCTCTGAAATCTTTAAAAAATTTGATAGTTACTTTCATAATTGTCAACTACCTGCATAAAAATTAGTATATTTCAATTCGAATTTTGAAAATGGGCCTAATGAATTGGGATTTCCCTATTGGCCGGGTCATTTTGGGGCAAGCGGATATCTTTAACACAACATACTGATTTAAAACCTTAATATATTGTTATCTTGTGTTAAACTTTCGTACAAAAATCCATAATCAGTTTTGTTTTATGATTAGAATCCTAGATATCGTCGTTTGACAAAACTCATCATAAAATTGGATGTATAAATCTTAGATGTCTTCATTAGACATGACTCGACATACATTTTCATAAATATTTTTATATGTTTTGTCCATTGCTTCACAAAATTTGGCATAAGAACATATCATAAACTTTGATCTTTCAACAATATGACAACATGATCGGCCTAAACAAACATTTTTTTTAATGAACTGAATTAGAAAGTTGTGAACAACAAATTTGTAGTTTGTCTTGTTTTTACTAAACCAATAAAATTTTAATATTGTAGATTATAACAGCCTTTAACTTTGTTTGAGAATAACCTATTCAATTAATTTGTATTGTTTATGACAAAAATAAATTATCTTTTAGACCACATCAACTTCAATTTGTTTCATAATTTATTTTTAAATGTTTTTAGTATAGATCTTTTGATACCCTAGTAGCATCACTTTTTATAAAATAATCATCTTTATTTATTTGAAATTACTAAATTCGGTGATAGATCTCGAATATACTTTAAATAGAACTTCATTTGAAGAAAAGCAAAAAAAATACACATTCTTGAAATTCAATTTATTCATCCGTCTTGCTTTCTTCTTTAATCTATTTTTCTTATTTGATTTCTTTATGCTTGAAGTTCTTTTCTTTTTTTTTTTTTTAGTCGGTGTCTTCTTTTTCTTTGCGTCATTCTTATTCGATTTATTCTTCATATTCACTGATCTACTTGTCTTCTACTTTGCTATTTTTCTTCTCCACTCGTATTGCATCCTATTTTTCTTTCTTGTCTGGTTTCTTCTCTTTCATTCTTATTTGATTTTTTTTTTCTTTTTCAGTTTCATCTTCATTGTTTTTTATTCGGTTTTTCTGTCTTCATCGATGTTCTTCTTTGGCTTTCTTTTTTTCTTCCTACTTTAGTATCTCCATCTTCCCTGTTTTTCGGTTTCATCCTCTTATGTACTTCTCCTAAAGGTGAAAAATGATCATGATAGTTCGAGAACTATCATGAATCTATATGTTACTTGAAAAATGATCATGATAGTTCTCCGTAATGATCATCCGAAAAAAATCATTTTTCGGTTTCATTCTCTTACTATACTTCTCCTATATGTTCATCTTTCTTCTTGTTCTTTAATTTCTTTGATGATATTTCTTGCGGAATAAGTTGTGAGCTGTTTTAACAGTGTCAATTTTATTATAAAAAGAAAACATTTTCTTTAAGTTTGTATATAGAAATATTTAAATTAAATATTAGCAAATATTTTCTTTAAATTTGTATAGAGAAATCTTTAAAATTAAATATCGTGAAAGCGTTTTTTTTTGTATGAATGTTAAGATATCAGTAAATAGTTGTATTTAACATTTTTTTTTGAATTTTGTTTAATCTTTGATTTTATTTGTATGTTTTTAATTCAGTCTTGTTATATTTTGATTGTTGTTATATATATATATATTAAAATTAATAAAAAAATAAACATGTTAAGTTAGTTTCTTTTTGCTTGGTATTAAAAATATATTTTTTATTTTATAAACTCTTTAATACAAAAAGTTTATATTATTTTTGAATTAGGAAACTTTCTTGAAAAAGAAAAAAAGAAATTATCTTATTTTATATGGTGATGTGGAATTATACTATTGGTCTTTTAAAATTCGGAAACTTTCTTAATCTTTAAGATGGTTATGTGGACCAATGAGATCGCGTCTTTAAATCCTATGTGGACGTCCTCAATGGCTTATAGCCTCAACTTTTATATACAGTAGAAACTCTATAAATTAATAATGTCGGGACTTTGATATTTTATTAATTTATAGAGTTATTAATATATAGATTTTGACTAAAAAAAAATTTCAAAAAAAGAAAATTCAAAATTACGAATCTTTTAAATTTTCCTTAAATTAAATAAAACTTTCCTTTATATGTATATTTTCTTAACTTTTCTCTTTGATGTTTCTATATTTACTTTATTGTTTACATTTTCTCATACTTGCCATATTATTTTAAATTTTTTTTTCTTTTAGTTTCCATATATGTTTGGTGTGTGAGAGATTCATATTTTAGTAGCTAGATATTTTAGATTTATATAAGTTTTTATATGATAATTATTAATTTATGATATTATTGGGACCATATTTTACATAGGACTTTAAAAAAAGTTATTATCTTATTATCTTATCGAATTGTGTCATATTTTACACCGGCCCAACTCGGGACCGGAGAAATTTATTAATTTATCGTGTTTATTAATTTATCGAGTATTAATTTATAGAGTTTCTACTGTAGTATAGATTGAATGTTGTGTGTCCAATTATATTTTGTAGTCCTTTTTCATAATTGGTTAAGTTATATTTTATTTATATATTAAGTGATATTTTATTTTTAAAAACTAAATTTCTTGGTTTTTGTATTTAACCTTAAACAGCTTATATAGTGGGACAGAGGAAGTATATATTAGTATTTCTAGCTTATGCTTTAAACCGATGTAAAGCATTTGCATCTCACATTTTTAAAATCACTTTTAGAATTGATGTAAAAAAAATTTACATCATTTTTTTACATCAATTATAAGTTTATAACTAATGAAAATATACAAAATAACCGATGTAAAACAATTTTTTGTAATGGTAGTAGGATTAGATGCGAGGATTTGTTTTATTAGAGGAAGAAGTTATTATAAGGGTTCTCCATAGATGATATTATCCGATGACCATTTGAGTCCATGTTCATCGGTGAATGGATTTGCACCTCCACTAGCCGTGTGAGCCGGCTTTCATAAGAGAATAAAAAACCTATAATGAAAAATATGAGTGTCATATTTTTAAAACGTAAGTTCCTTATTTTTTTTCATAAAATCGTTAATAAAAATTTCAAAATCAATATTTTTTAGCAGGTTTTAATTGTAATTTTTTTTTCAATTGAAACTAATTGTCGAAAAACTTTGTTACTAAGGCATTTGTAGATGATCAGAAATACAAAGAAGAAAAAAATTGTATAGCCTAACTGTTTTCCTACCTTAGTTTTTAACAATAATAATTGTTTGTATTGTTTTACTAGTTAGTTAAATAGTTAAGTGTTATCGATCTCTTGTCAATTTCATAAAATTTTATAACTTATTATAGGTCCATGTCTATACATGTAATAATAGCCTATTGATTTCTTAAAACAATTTGCATCGATCCCTTAGAATAAAAGAAGAAAATGCTGCCATAAGCAAATATTTTTTTTTTTTTATAAGTTACGACAATGTCCAAGCTCCCAGAACATGCTTTTATCATAAATAAATAAAAAAAAAAAAAAACTTTGTGTATGTGTTAGAAATCACTTCAAATACCATAAAGACTCCATCTTTTTTCGTTTGCTTATATATTTCTTAGTTTTTGCTCGTTTTTTGTTTATCTTTTTTTAACTCAATGTTTTTTTTTTATTGGAGAGACTTCTTGTTCTTCATACTCTTTGCATGTCCTCATACCCATTCCGATAGTTTATTGTGAAGTGTGAAAAAACGTGAAAGAGGAGTCTTTATCATATGGACCTAAGAACAAGAACATACACTCAAGATAAATCTCCAGAAGTTAAAAAATGAAGGAGTCTGGTGTTTGTGGTGATGAACTTAACGGATTCACAGAGCTACCATGAAAGAGACTGCATGAAAGATGGAAGAAGTTCAAATTTAGCATACTAAAATAACAATCTTTTCTGAAAAAAGAGCGCTGAATAATTTTCAAAAGAGATTTGTTTGAGCTCTCAATCAGCATCACACAATTCAGCGTCTGCATTTCTGAAGAACCAAACCTATTGAAAAATCTAATAAATTAAAAAGGGTACATATTGATACAGAAAAGTACACTGCCTTAATCGGCTCAAGTTGGCTTCTGCAAATAGATTTAAAGGCAAATAAAAAAACATGAAGAAGAGACTGATAAAATTTTCTCTACTTTACTAACTTACAACACGCACTGGACCGACCATCTTCAAAGAAAGGCTAAAGAACTATTCCGAACCAATTGATCTCGGATGCCTAAAATCCTACAACCATTTGTTAGCCAAGAACCACAGAGTGTTGTTGTTGCTGCTGCTACTTTTTATACCAGTGTTAGGAATTGGTTTTGCTGTATGTCTTTTCACTTTGAGTCTTTGTAGGAGCCAACCTTCGTCTCAGCGACGCCTGTTTGATTGGTGTCTGGTTCTTGGTCGTCCTTGTCCATCTCTATGCCTTCCAGTGGAGGAAATGATAACAGGTGGTCCTGCAAGAAGAAAGAATTGAGAAGGCAACGAGTTTCACTGTCAGTCCCTGTCTCATGTCAAGTGAGGTCTTAAAAAATCGACATAACTCGGTTACCGTTTGGTTGGTTTTCTATTTTACCTTGAGAGAGGTATTTTCAGCGGTGAGATCTTCGCACTGGCTCTTGAGCTTGTTAATTTCTGCTCTGAGACTTGCGTTCTCTTCATTCAACACCTCAGCGCGTTGCGCCAGCTCATCACATTCGGCCTGGAACACAAAAACTTCCTCCATGTCCATAATTTGCTCACATGGGCGTGCAAGAGACAACTAAAGGCATGTGTAGTACCTGTTTACGCAGCCTCGATCTTCGAGCAGACTCCCTATTGGACTGCTTACGTCTCTGTCTCTTAAGTTCTCTATCATCCTAATTGCAAGAAAAGCAATTTTGAGTTTGGGGGAGACAAACTAAGTATGAATATGAGTGTTTATGAGAATGGCTTGGGGGAAAAAGGTGCACACACACCTGTAACCAGGGTTGTGAATGGCCACCATCACGTGAGACTGGAGCAACAACTCCAGGAACGGTTGTAGATACTTTCCCATGCATCCCAGGGATGGCGGCTGAAGTAGGAGCACCCCAATAATCCATCCCAATGTTTAAATTTGTTGGTGGGCCGGGAACACCTGCAGCTGTCATTGGCATGATTGGCACGGTCTGGCTCACCGGTAGAATAGGTGTAGCAGCAGCACTTCCATTTCGGGGACCATTAGCAGAACCACCATTCTCTGATGCTGCTTCAGGTGAATTCCAAAACAATAAAGCACTCTCCGGTAAGCAGCTTTCATAGTGTTAGTCACATGACACAAATGAAAGGTAAAAAAGAAAGGATCATAAACCAACCATCTTTCCCGTCTTGTCCAGATCCCGAGTCCTACATGGGTTGCAAAAGCAAATCGAATCACTCTCATGATTATTATAGTAACTCCTCAATCTCAGAGGCAGAGCAAATATTTTTTATGAATTTTTAACTTCCTTCACTTACATTTTGAGAGTTTCCTTCACTTCCTTCACTTGAACCATCAGAAGCACTCTCCCCACTGTAACAAAGTAAAAAGTCTGACAATCTCAGAGCAATAATAGAGTGGATTTTATCTAATAATGAAGCAAGCATAAGTCAGGTCCAAGTCAGAACATAATCGAAATCCTGTGGTAACAAGTAACGACCACGCAACATCTTTTAGATTGGATAAATTTGAGCAAGTTACATGCCTTTTAGAGTAAGCTCCATTAGCTGATGCCCCAGAGTTTTTTCCAGGTTCATTGTTCTTTCCTGTAATCATGTTCAAACTTCCCAAGCTTCCTCTTGATCTTTTGATAGGCAACTTTTCCTTCGGATCAGATTGTTTAGCATCCCCTTCAGTGCCGCCTGTAGTATTTCCCTACAAAAAAAAGCATCTCTCAGTTATGATCCCACAATAAACAAAGGTAGCATATACCATTGAAGAAAAATGATGGGATGCAAAACTCACAGAAGCTTCAGCCATTCCATTTGGCGAAGGCATAGCATAAGGGCTATATGGATAAGAGCCCTGATTAACAGAATGAAACATGTTAAAGACATGATTAACAACAGCCACCCCTTTCAAAACAGGTCAACTGCAAATGAACATCTACAGTGTGGCAGTACCGGAGGCATTGAAGGATGCGCGTACATGCCACCTGGGGGATACATTGTAACATATGGATGTGGCGGAGTTCCATAAGGAGGCATCATATGCTGCAAAAGTTGATGTCACACAATCAATCAAAGCTATATTATAGTAGGAGTTAATCTTGACCCAGTACAAGACTAATTACCAAAATCGACATCAAACGCTATAAATCATGTAAACTAAACACCCCTAAATCTCCAAGTCATTTGCAACTTTCGAGCACTAACACCGATATACACATCACAATAAAAAAGCGACGGATGTAAAAACAGTAAGTTTACCCCCCACATATAAGGGTGAGGTTGGGGACTTGATGCCACATAACCATGAGGCGGCATAGGAGAATATGCCTGTCAAAAGAGAAAGAAAAAGCATTACGATCAAATGCAACAAGAAAACAGACAACAGATCCATAGAAGGAGGAATCTGTCTTAGAACCTGAAAACCAGTCCAATCTGGAGTAGCCATGCCTGCACTCACAGCCGACGAAGGTTCCTGCAAACACAAGAATATCTCAACTATAGGTCTATAGCATATCACAGACATGTACAGGATAGTATCACAATTAGCTGAATCTAGGATTTTACAAATATTTAAATTTCCTTTTCAGTGGCTAAAGTCATGGGATTTGTTTCCTTTCTTATATTAGGATTCTATTGAAAATGGAAGTAGAGAAGAGAAGGGCAAAAACGCAGACCTGTGAAGAGGGAGGAGGAGGAGCAGAAGAAGCAGGAGGCGGCGTTTTAGGTTCCTTTTCTTTACTAGATTTATCCATCTCGCTGCTAGCCATTATCACAATCACTAATCTCTAAACAATCCTTGAGAGAGAGCTTCCTGCAAGACGAGATCTACTTAAAGCATAAACCTTTACCACATTCAATTCAAAAATTCAACATTTCAGCTAATCGTTTCGTTCCAAATTTCGTTGACCAATACACTTCCTAAGCACCACAGACTAATATATTGACAATCCAACAGCTGAAAGGTCTCTACTTTCTTTCTCCGGATGCAGAAAAGCTGGCTTGAAGGTAACAATGTCGGAGCTCATAAACACGATAACACAAAATCCAGCAGTATAAACAGAAACGCCACCGAAAAGCCCTAGGAAACTAAATCGAATTCAGAACAGAAACGCAGAATCTAACACGAAAGATGCACAAAACTGGAGATGCGACGGAAATACCTAACTCTGTGCACGAATTGGGGATGCGATATGAAACTATGAGCTTAATTCTGCAGAGATTTAGGGAAATCAAATGTCTTGACCAAAGAACAAAATTTGGCTGATTGTTTGTGTTTTCTGACGGGGAAGAAGGGGGCGTGGAGTTCACGAGGAATAAAAATTGCTTCTTTGCTTATATTTAGTGTTTTTATTTAAACCCCTTCTTTATAACTTATTTATGAAATTTACCCCAATTGGCAATTGTCAAGAATTTTGATATTATTATTTGAAAAAAATAAATCAAATTGAAAAGGAAAAAAAGTGAAATTTCACAACTACATTTCACTTGTAATGAATCAATACATTCAATGTTTAGATAAGACATTGATAGTCATTGGGAGGATAACAGGAAATAGGTAAGCATATTTTATGCTCAAATTGTTAGAAAATCTATGATGTTTATATCTTATGTACTTGTTTTACTCTACCTTAACCAAAAATGTAATTGTATAAGTTGTAATAATATTATTTTCTACTTTTAGGAGATAAAATTGATTCAAAACTATGGAGTCAAATTTGATAGGACAAGAGAGATTCTTTAAAAGTAAGAGGGTAAGAATTAGATATAGTGAAAGACTTGGGGGAGTGAGAGAATAAAGAAAGAGAAAACGCAGCTCTCTTCTCTTTTGCCCTCTTTCAAAGGTCGAAGCTTTTGAAGGCGTCTCTCTCTGTATTGCGTCTCCGTCTACACAGCAATGGCAGCTCCGGGATCAGACCCAGATACTGGAAATGAAGCAATACTCGAAAAAACCCTTGCGGAATCGAGTTTCAATTGCGGTGACTTGACGTCAGCCCTGAATCACGCGCGGAAAGCCCTGAGCTTGTCTCCGAACACGGAAGGTGTATCCTCCATGGCCACCGCCTTCGAGATCATCAGCTCCGCCGCCGGCGGAGATAAGCCAGAATGGTACAAGATTCTAAAGGTAGAGCCTTTCTCTCACCTCAACACCATAAAACAACAGTATAGGAAGCTAGCTTTGGTGCTGCATCCTGATAAGAATCCGTACGCGGGGTGCGAGGAGGGATTCAAGCTTGTGAATGAGGCTTTTAAGGTCTTCTCTGATAAAGTTAGGAGAACTGAGTATGATATGAAGTTGAGGATTAAGATTCAGGGAGAGATGGGTAGTGATGGTGGTGGTGATGAAACGTCGACGTTTTCTACTGTTTGCTCGGGTTGTGGTTCGGTGCATAACTTTGATAGGAAGTATTTGGGGCACAGTTTGATGTGTCCTAGTTGCAGGAAGAGTTTTGAGGCAAAGGAAGCTGAGAAGGAAGAAGAAGTGGGTAGAGATGGAAGTGAGAATGGAGAATGTAGTTCCAAGGTCATCATAACATATAGTAGGAGGAAGAAGCGTGTTGGTGAGGATGGTGAAAGTCTGAGAAGAGCGAGTGAGATTGGGGAGATGAGAGAGGAAGGAGCAGAAAGTTTAAATGCATCTCTCATGGATGAAGAAGATGAAGGGATGATGACTTTAGCAGAAATGCAATCAGTGATAAAGAGAAATAAACCCAAGGTGAAGCGGAAGATCACTGAGATATCTTCCGGTGATGATGTCTCCATGACTGAAACTTTGATGGAGGTGAGTGCTGCTAACAAAGTGAATGGAAAACGAGAAGCTAAGAATACAAAGAAGAAGAAGGCAACGAACTACAAGGAGGTGACGGAGATTGTTGATTTAGACTATTTGCCACGGGTTGATAGGAAGAGGGATCGTGGTAAGATGAGCCAAGAAATGTACAAGGAAGAAGAGGGTTTCGACGAATTGTATGATTTTGATAAGGACAGGACGCCGAGGAACTTCAAGAAAGGACAGGTTTGGGCGGTGTATGATGGCCGTGATGACAAAATGCCTCGGAGTTACTGTTTGGTGAGTGAAGTCGTCTCTTCGAACCCATTTAAGGTATGGATCAGCTGGTTGGATTTTGAGAGCGAGAAGCTGAGTTCTTGGATGAATTCTCATATGCCTTGTGGGAGGTTCCGGGTTTCAGAGAAGGTTTTGATCGAACAAGTGAAACCATTCTCTCACGTTGTCGACTGCGAAAGAGCTGCACGAGAAGTATACCAAATATATCCAAGGAAAGGCTCGGTCTGGGCTGTCTACTCGGAGACAAGTTCAGGTGTTCAGAGAAGAAAGACCAGACGGTATGAGATCGTTGTGTGTTTGACCATGTTCAGCGATGCGTATGGCTTGAGTGTGGCTTATTTGGAGAAGGTTAACGAGTGTAGCGACTTGTTCAAGAGACGGGATTACGGGTATAATGCGGTCAGGTGGGTGGAGAAAGACGATGTTGCGGCCTTGCTCTCTCATCAGATTCTGGCCAAGAAGCTGCTGGAAGATGAATCTGGAGCTGGTCTGAAAGAATCTTGGGTGCTTGATCTTGCTTCTGTTCCTACTGATTTGGTTTCTTCTGCCACTTAGTAAAAAACATAGATGGTTCTTGCTTTTTCTTCTCTTTGTTGTTTCTCATGATCATGATACAAGAGAAATACACACTTTCATGTCAATATTTGTCTAACTTAGTGATTTTGATTTAGATATATGTACTCAAAAACTCGCAAATGTTACTATCACCAAAATTATTTAGTTGTACATACATATGCTAAAGTTTTATAATTATGTTGATAGTTATTTGCCACTGCATAAACTCAGCATTCCATTTCTCTTAAGGGTGGTGTTTTTTATCTATGCGTAAAAGATCATAGAAGAGGTATGTTAGGTGTTTAGACCATTTTGGTTGCTCTGAATTGAGTAAAAGATATGCAGATTATTAAACCATATGTAACATTATCTATCATCTTTGTAGAAACTCTTAGAGTGATGATGCTTTACTGATGTTCAATGCGGATTTGATAGACTGTAACTCGTGTAGAACATCTTGCACTCCTTGGCTCAAAACCTCGAATTGTTGTTTTGGAATTTGATACACAACTTCACCTCCTTCACCTACGTGCTCCTCCAATTTCACTATCTCACCCAGAAGCTTTAGTGCATTCAGCATCGCTTCACCTCCTCCTTTGCCGACAAACCCAGTTTCTTCTGAAGGTTCTTGTTTGATGTGAGCTTTGATTCGGTGATCAGCAACATTTCCCTTAAGAGCAGGCCGATTCGAACTAATAGCTTGTGTGGATCTTCTAGGGGACTTCTTGCTTGTTAAAGAAGGAGAACCAGAAGATGAAGTTGGCAAATTAGCTTTCTTAATGTGTTTTTTCTCTTCCTTAGGAACAACAGGTAATGCTTTTGGTCTTATGACTGGAGAAGAACCTGCACAAGAAGATAGTAGTAGGTTAAACGAGTAACAAACGGGCAACATTGAGATCAGATTTATTAGCATTATCATTTACTTTTGGAGATTTGCTTTTGAGGGAGTGATTGATGAGTCTTTGGTGAGCTACCAGGCGAACCAGGAAGCAGAAACTTTACATGACCATGACTCTTTATTTCCTGAGAGCCCCTTGGACAACTTTTATGTTCTTTGACTTGATCCACTGATTTTCCTGGACTCTTCGTCAACCCAGACAATGGTTTCTTGACCCATTCAGTCTTCTTCAATGGCTTTGATTGCTTATCCGCTTTCTCTGAACCTGTTGCAGAGCTACTTCCATTCAACTCTGCTTTTGCTCCTAATGTTTTAGAGGTTCTTGGAGGAGAAGACTTGACCATTGTTGTTGTTGTTGTTGTTGTCACTGCAGGTTTCTCTTTCAGAAGCTTTTGGGAACTTTTCTTAGCCATTGACTGTAGCGTTGTAACAGACTGTTTCCACCACCGTATGTACTTAACCGTAACATCAGCTTGGTGGAGCCTAGAAGGAATGTACATCATCTCATCAGAAATCGGCCGGATGTAATCTTTCCAAGCCAATTCTGGAGTCTCTATCTCCACCGGGACGACTCCGGGAACATCCTGATCATAACCAAACTGCAACGCCACGCGATGAGGATTATAAGGCTCGATGAAATTCAAACCAACCAGCTTAGAGCACCTCAAACACCGGCCAAACGCTACAATGTCTTCATCTTCCAGCGACACCCAACAGTCGTCTTCTAAGTAGAACTTTGGGAATCTGAAGTTTTTCAAAGGCTTTGTATATGGACGGTAATCGAAACTCTCCTTAGCCGAATCAAGAACCGCTCTGATGTTCTCGCGGCTCTGGTTTGACGACTCCTGACCACCACCGTACTGGTGCCATATTGCCATTCTTGGCTCGTAATGCTTTAACTGGCTTGGCTGGCCCGGTGGCCGGAGCTCGCTGATTCTCTCCCAAGCCCACACCTGCACAAACTGAAACGGAGATGTGGCAGTTACCACCGTACTTTGGCCCATTTCCTCTCCGGAACCAACGAGCTGCTTCTTTAAAACTCCGAGATTGCTGTAAATCCCGGCTAAAACCGCCGGAGCCAGCGCGAGCCTAACACCTCTAGCGAGCTGGACCGCAGCTGTGAAGAGCTTGTCTCTCACGAGATCAGCTGAATTGGGGAAGACGAACCGGGAAAGCCACGAGACCATGAATGCTTCATGCTCAATTTCATTCCCAGAGTTCATCAATTCCCTCATCCACAAACTAACGCAGCATTTCTTCATCGAATTGGCCTCGATTTCGCGTTTCGCTCTCTTCAGTTTCTCCTCCACCGACTTCATCGATTCTCGTTTGATCGAACCCAGAACGTTGTTTCCGATTGCCGAGAATCCGCCGAGAACGATCATATCCTCTAGCGTCACCGTCGCTTCTCCCCAAGGGAACACGAAAGAGTTAGTCTCGATGCACCATTTCTCCACCAGCGCCGTCATCAGATCATCCTGCTTCGTTATCTGGTACCGCGACGCCATGATCGCGTCATAAACTCCGGATTTCCGCCACACCACCGCGTTGGACTCCGCCATCGCGTTTACCCATTCGATCCAATTCACCGACGGCGATCCCCAACCGGAAAACGATAATTTCACGGGTGATTTATCCGGATCTAACGGTGAAGACACGAACGCATCAAGCGGAAGCTCGAAGACATCGTCGTCGATGGAGGTGGTGGTGTAGTTCAGGAACCGCGCCGTTCGCAGACCTTCGAATCTTCCTCCGTCGGGGCACATCAGAGCTTGTCTAACTTGGACGATCCGTTCATCTTCCTGATCAGAAGAACCACGAGAATCCATCTGATCGGAGAAAATTCCTAAGGCTTTTGGATCGGTTTCGATCAGGAAGCCAATTGAAAAACGGAGAAGAAAAAAAATGGAGAAAGAGAGAGAGAGCGAGCTGTGGAACAGCTAGAAATGCTAAGTTGGGATCTTCGTCATGATGGCTAACGACGGCGGTCTCGATTTTCCCGGCACATTCCACCTCTGACTTTCCCGCTAAAACGTCTAACTATAGAAACCAGTTCAAGCTTTTTTATCACGCCGTTACGCACACTTTTCAACGGCTATAGATTTGCTTACGCTAATTAATCCAACGGTTACAAAACCACAAAGGAGTTTTCAGCTTGTACCGTATGTAACCGTATTTTTCCATCTTGGTTTATGAGAACGAAGCCCAATCTAGGCCCATATAACTATTAATGAGTCTTAAAATAGTCGGTCCTCTCATTTTCCCCCTAATTTCACACAATACCCAATGTTTGTTTTTATATGCATAAAATTCGCATGGGGCAAATAAGAAGCGGATTGTTTTGAAATTCGGCGAACCCTAAAATTCTCAAGGCTAATGAATAATTAACTCGTCCACCAAAAGTCACGCTTCAGAAAGAGAGAGAGAGCGAGAGTGAGTGGCCGAGTGGAGAGCGCGCATAGCGGCGAAGTATTGCCGTCGATAACTTTGTCGATATCTCTTGTTTGCGTCCGCTTAAGACTCTGTTTCGAGGTATGATTGCTTTCCTTTGGAAACCTACCAGAAGTTTTGAGTTTCTCATGGTTGATGGTTGCGAACTTGCGAGTTAAGATTTTACGGTTATGGGTCTTGATTCTTCTTTGATAAACTCTTGAGGGTTTAACCAAGTTTCACTCAAACAATCCTAAACCGACAAAAGCTTCTCTTTTTTTTGGGTGCAAATAAGCTTCTCTTCTTCGTTAGTAGTCTTTTTAACTCTATTGATGTGCATATGTGTGTATAATGTGTTCAGATTATCTGGGTTTCTAAAGAATTTTCCTAATATCTGTCTGGAATTCAAGTTTGCAGAGTCTGTTCATAAATCGGCATAAATATATATCTGATTCTGTCTTGTAAACCAACTATTGCTGGCAGAAGACTATAGGCTATAGAGCATGTTTGATACTCTCTTGCTTCTGGATCTCTTTGTGTTACTTCATAATCTTAGTTTCAGCTGTTGATTAGAAATGTTGGCTAATCTTGTCTGCTATCCAAATATATGTAGATAAGCTGCGATCTTACCACTGAAGCTAGCTATATCAAGATGAATCCATATCAATCACGAAACCAGATGCAAGCAAGCAAGGACACAGGCTTGTCTACGTCTAATACTGGTTGGTTCCACTCTTATTTCCCCGTTGCAAGAACCACAGGCATTGATCTTTCTCAAGTCCCTGAAGCAGATCCTGATGAAGCTGTCATGGTGCCTCAAGCTCGTTTGTTTCCTCCACCCACAAGAGAATCCAGAAACGATACGGAAACAGTGAAACAAACGTCGACAAATCTTTCTCCTTCCAAAGCTTTGAAGCCAAAACCACAGATCAAGAAACGCTCTGCACCCAAGAACCCAAAGAGCATTCCGGAAACAAAGCGGGAGAAGAAGAATCCTGACATCAACATTGACATCTCAAGCTTTGATGTCTCCGGCGTTCCTCCTCCTGTCTGTTCATGTACCGGCGTTCAGAGGATTTGCTACAAGTGGGGAATGGGCGGTTGGCAATCCTCGTGCTGTACCATCAGCATATCGACGTATCCACTACCCATGAGCACCACAAGACCTGGATCTCGTCTTGCTGGAAGGAAAATGAGCAATGGCGCTTATGTCAAGCTTCTTATGAGGCTTGCTGGTGAAGGCTATGACCTCACTCTCCCTGTTGATCTCAAGAACCATTGGGCTAGGCATGGTACTAACAAGTTTGTGACCATCAAGTAGTCGTTTGATCGGTGTGGGTGTTAGGTTTCTAGCTTTTGTGGTTTCCTTGTTTACGTTTTTGTATATATGTTAATCTTTGGTAGTGGCTTTTAAAATCATCGAGGAGATTTAGTGTCTATTATCAATAGGACAAGACTTTTAAGTATTCTTAGTAGTGCAACAATTGGGGTTTAACAATCTTTGGCTGAAACTCTCTCTTTAGGAGACTTTACGGATCGATTGGTTTTTTTGTTCCATTGAACGAATTGTTGTTTCTTGGCTATCTTAGTATTTCGTTTCCCCGCCCAAATAAAAAAACTATTAAATTCCCCTTGAAGCCTTGTTTAAATTCGATCATCGTATTATATAATACTGCCTCACATGGCACTGAAAACGGAATCTTTATACTCTTTACTCCAAAATACTGAATGCTAAATGTAATAGGAACACACAACATATCTTTTGCAACTACGACTACTAACTAAAGAACACACCACATCACAGACAATGGCACAACGGTAAACACATAAGCAGTAAGATGGTATAATCAAACCTTTTCAGAGAAGGGTATCGTTGGGGAAGTATATGCATTATATCCTTTTACTTGTTTCCCCTGAAGTAGATATATATTTTCTGCACAACGGTGAAAACACATTCAGGCAGGAACTTGGCTTGTATCGGTTAGCAGAAATATAGAAGAAAAAGGGTAGACTTGTATCACTTTACCTGGAGAACCCACAGACTCAGAAGCGACTCCAAGCAGAAGAGACCGACACCGATGAAGTAGAAGATCTGCAGTAAGGCAGCAACCAGATTTCATGGGTTAATAGGAACTGGCTTGGCGAAAAAAGTTTGATTTTGTGGTTTAACATAGAAAGGAGGTCATGGTTCATACCCCGGCTAATAAACTGGCTGAGATTACATCAATTGCTGCCAGCACACCCCTGTAGGATTGGAAGAGAATGAGGATCAGTTGTCGCAACACAGGTAGTTCAGTAGTAGATTCACAGACACATAATCTTAAACGGCTGCAAAGCTTGAGAACGAGAAGAGCTAAAGGAGCAATGATTGGAAGACTTACGTTAATGATTGTCCACGGAAAACGATTGGAGGTGCAATGGCGGCAAATATGCAGAAGCCAATGTGAATCTATCAAAAACTAAGTTCAATCATACAGAAAACGGGATAAAAATGTGCATCTAAAGATGACAGTTGTTTTTAATAAACTCACCAGGTAGAAGAAGAAAAACCCACCAAAGCTGAAAGCGCTATTAGTCCTGCAAGATGATAAGAAAACAGTTCAGTTATAGGCACAATGCTAATACGACCAAGTCTAGCGATAGTGAGATAAACGGGGCCTCACGTCATTGCTCGGTAGAGGGGCCTGTACCACAACACATATGAAATTGGACATCCAAGCAACGCATAGATTACGGCAAGAAAAAAGATTACGACACCTGCCATTCGGATTTAAAAACCAGCCTTATCTCAACACAAATTCAATCACAAGTAACATAATATATTTCCCTTTCATAAGGTGGATTGGTTAAAGTATAAAAATATCACCTCCCCCTTTAATCCAGCAGACTGTCACCGCAATGATGTTGAATACGAGACACAAAACTATACCTGAAAATTCAAAACTCAAACAGTAACAAGTCTATCAGGTTCACTACTGAGGACTCTATACGGTTCATAAACAGGATAGATCAAATAAACAAAAAACTTACCCAACCAACTAGCAAAAGCCAGATACTGCAGTTTTTGCGCATGAATTGGTATCTCGTTAGCAATGTCGTGGTGTATAATTGGGAAAAAGGGTGGCCAGTTTTTATCGTTTATCTTTACGCCAGCTGTGACACAATTTGATGCGTTACATTAGCAACAAACCAGAGCAAAATTTCAACAAAGTTTCAATGAAGTCCCCTGTAGACTTACATTTAGCAATAGCATCTTCTCTTCGTTTAATATCCTGGACGAATCAGAGATAAAAAGTTACATGACTTAATCAAACCAGCCAACGGATTATTAATATCAGGTGTACCAGACTCAGTCAAACTAAATGTTAAAACAATCGAGATCATTGACACTAACCATTTCTCTCCTCCTAAGTTCCGCTTCCTTATCAGCAAGCTCTCTCTGTTTCTTTGAAGAGTCCTGCACCACACAAAAACATTTCAGTGAAATAAATTCAAGTGAGAATCTTGCATGAGCGTTAATGTTCTTACATTCACCGTATCCAATGGAATATCAACGGTGGCGTCAAGGTTATTGCCAAAACCAGCTGGCCTAGATGACACAGGAACCCTTCCAGCGCCACCAGCACCTTTCTGCAAATAAAAATCATATATATTAAGATCACATATTCATAAACCTACGAGAAACTTCAACATTAGAGTTGATATAGCTTGAAAAACAACAAGTTATGCTACTAATTTACTTCAAAACGAAAAAAAAACACCAAGATCTGAATCCAAACATTCTACCATTTATAAAGACTACACTATGAAGCAGTTTCAATCAATTTGGACCCGATTACAGTAGATAAGATAATCAGTAAATTCAGAAGGAAAAACCGAAGATCCAGCAATTCAAAACCTCTGTATGTCTGCAAACACCTTGCTAGAGTATTCTACAAGAGAATTTCAATCAGAAATGAGTATCGATGTTAAATATGCGGTAGTAGAGATTTCCGTTTCTGCTATGTTCGAGGAACTAATGACGCAAGTTGCTTCGAGATCTCTCGAATAAAACACAGAATCCCCAGCGAAATTCCATATAACCCGCATCTTAATCATGAATCTGAAAGGAAGCTCATCCAGAATAATAGAAAGGCGAGACTAGGGAAGAAGAGGTAGAGACGGAGAACGTGAAATTACCGAGAACGGATTGACGATTTCTTCATCTTCTTCGTCGAAGGGATTGGGATCGTGGTGGCGATTCATTTTTCAGTTTCGCAGGTGAAACAGAGAGTGCGTAGAAGATCGGAGGAGAGGAGAGTAAAAATGAAGATAACTCCACCGACCCGAGATAGACTCCTTTTTAGTCCTCCTTTCACTCTCTTCTTCAAAACGCGGGATTTCAAACCACCTGTATTTACGAATTTGCCCCCAAAAGCTTATAGGCTGTCATTGTTTTTAGCTTTAGCCCAACCACACACAAAAAATTAGGCCCAACTAACTTTTAATTGTTTTATATGTAGCTGTTAATTGTTTTATCCCCAATATATTTACTCCTCTGAAGGAAACTAATTTTCTTTAATAAAATATCATTTAAAAAATAAATTAAACATAATCTAACTAATGCTGAAAAAAATTGTACAGTTTAATTGATTACACAATATCCCATAAAGTAAAAGATGCATTGGGGTGGTGATAGAAAACAGCTTACAATTTTACAAAAAAAATTCACAAACATGATTACATTTTATGAAATATGTCAATTACTAGACTATTTAACTTAAGATATGTCATTATTAGTTAACTTAATATAGTCTTTACTAGCCAATTTACAAAATATGTCATTGCATTAATTTGATTAAAGAATAGTTTATATTCCCTCTGTTCCACCATATTTGATGTTTAAAGTTTTTCACACATATGAAGAATTTTATAATGGTTTGTTATTAATGATTTTTCTTTTTATATCAAAAATAATAAACAAAATTAATTTAAGTAGTCATTTAATTTTGATTGTTTTCTTGAAGTTTGTAAAATGTAGCATTTATCAATAAAAAGTAACATTAAAAAATTTAAACATCAAATAATAAATAACAAAAAGAAAATCGGGTCCTACAATACTTTTCTAACACATGAGGTGTTGAGCTGGTTTAATAACTTGATTATTATTAATTTATTATAATCAAATTAAACAACCACCCTACCAGTTGATTTGTAGCTTTCTCGATGTGAATTATATGAATACTTTATTCTTTAAAGAACAATATAGCTTAACCAGAAAACAGTGCATTTGCTTACTATAAGCCAATAAAGAAATTATTTCATTTTTATAAAGCAATGAATCAGTAACAATATTAGTTTTCAAAGCAAAGTTGAAGAAGAAAACTAGAGGACGGAGAATCTATTGAAGCCAAGCAAAGCTTAAAGCATTTATCTTCAGTCCACTTTGATATTCTGGAGATTTAAACAAGCCATCTTTGTAGCATCTTTTTGTTATTCTCCTTTGGTGCTTTGGAGAATCTATACTCTTCGGACAAGTTTTCTTTCTTCTACTGTTTTCTTTTGAGAAAATCCAAAAGTCAAGATTAAGGAGGATTCGTCTTTCCAAGCGTAAAAATCGGAGCTCTAGGAAGAAAAAGGAACAAAAGAAAAAAAAAACGAATTCAATATCATGGTTGGTATTTTCTCCAGATTTTCTGTTGGTAGAAGCGGCCTTAGACGAACACAGAGTTCCATCGTAAGTTCTCCTTTCTATTTACGTGTCTGATTCCACTTGAGGTTTCATGGGACCTTAGGTTCAAAGAAAACTTAAAAGATTTTTTTTTCCATCTATTGTCTTTAATAGTTTGCTCCTGAAGCTTCAAGTTATATGGAACAAGATTTTATTTTCCCTGTTAGATTTGTGCAGCTTGAGCTTTATCTTCAATTCTTCATAGTGATTCCTTCTTAGTATGATGCTTTTCAAGCAGATTTGTTTTGTTTTTTTTTGGTTAAGATCTCAAGCATGTTTTTTTATATATTTTGCTCTGACCTAACAAAACTAGACTCAAAGTGGATGTGGAAATCTAGGGTTGCTTGTTTTCCATATTTTCAGTTGAATTTTTTTGAACACCTTCATTAGTTCAAGCTAACATTCTTTTGTTCATACTCTGCTTCTTCTTTTTTGTAATCTGATTTCCCTTCAATAGACTAATTTCAAGCTATGGTTGAATATGAGATAGTGTTTTGCTTCTAAATCAAGAAACTGGTTTCAAGCTATACTTGACCTATGATCAGGATGAGAGGGGAGCATTGCCTCCAAGTACTTCTGATCTTGTTGCTTCAATTAACACCCAAACCAGT